TTCCGTATTGCAGGTGTGACCGCTATTGCCATTTTTGCGTTTTCTTAAGTTGTTGAGTCATCGTGAAAAATGGAACCAACTCGGTGTCAAAAATTGGATACTAAAAGGACTTCGTAATCTGATAAGTCTCGGAAAGGGCTTGAAAAGCACAATCGCCGTGAGGAACCACTTGCGTAGAGCTGCAACCAGTACTACACGCATTGTGGCGGAACAGGTACAGTCGTGTTGACACGAAGTTCCGTATCAGTGGCTGAATGATAAACGATTTTTTATTTTTTTTCTAAAGATTATATGAAAAGACACCCGAGGCGCAAACTGTGTCTCAAACCAGAAGTGGCGAAACGCGATTGGTTCGTCAACGCCGGCGCTGAGAAGCACTAAAGTACTCAGACGTAATTGGACATAGGGACATCCCTGCCGGAATGGGGGGTCATTCTCGCGGAGCTGCCCGACAATGAAACAACCGGTTTTTTGAATAATGGGTAGGAAAACGAGACACTCTTTGAAAGGGGAAGTCTTCTAGATCCTATTACTGTTTCTGGTTTGACAGGTCGCATTATGAAGAAACTTTGAAGCATAGAAAATTTGTAGAAGATACTAAAATTCAACAATGGATTCACAACGGGGATATTTCCTTGAAAAAACAACGATAACTAGGGATAAAGCTAGGCTGAGGTGGTCACTGACCATCGGACCGCGAGTGTGGTAAGTATACTACTTGTCACCTCCAACTCATCTACTTATATTGATATGTGATATGTCACGGAAAGCTGTAAAGAACAACGTGAAAAAATCCTCCCGGATCCTTATGGGAATAAAAGCGGTTAAGTTCTCACTGTGAGAACTTGCACGCTAGTAAATATAAACTCGCCCAAATGGAAAGTTGTCCAAAACCTCAACAGAAGATAAGGCTCATTTCATTTTAGCTGAAATCGTCCGGCACAACATACGCCGAGCGAGGGTTGTTTTTCGGTTGAAAGAAAGGTTTTCGTGTCGCAACATTTCTCGGTTTTTCCTGTTCCACGTAATCTATGCAACCTCTCTTCCGTCCCACCTTTCCCTAATTTCTACAGAAAAAGTTGATCGTTTGAACAATTCATGTACTCCATCATGTACGTCCAAAAGATATGTACAAGCTCTTCTCTGCTGTCCCCCCGAATAGTCTCATCGGCTTTTTGAATTCTGAGAATGCTCTTTTGAAAAGCCTAATAGTTCGGCGATAACCATATTGCAAACATTAGACCATACTACAAGCTCATAATCAGGTTGTGATGAAATAGCACATATGCGAGAGAGATTACACGCCCTCAAGTACGTTTATAAAGGAGCCCCCCGGACCCTTGAATTTGTTCTTCAATAAGCCGTTCGTCTTCCCTGTCAGTGTACCAACAGATTCCCAACAGCTCCCTCCGCTCGACGGAAAATCTAGGAAGGGTAGGCAGGATGGGCATGTGGAAGGGGATCCATTGTGGTGGGGATCGTAGCAGAGGAGGAAATCTCATAAGTGTGAAATTTTTCCTCACGGCAGGACGCACCCATGACATAGGGCAGCTAATTCAGGTTGGAAATCATTGCCAATCCCCCCTACCCACATGTAAATTTTTTTTGTTACTCTCCTACACCGTCTACAGAGGGAATAACAAGAATGGAAATTTATGGAAGATTAAAAAAACTGGCGAATACAAAAAGCCTGCTGATTTCGTATTCCAAGAACAAATTCAAAACTTGAGAACCTTTATTTTTATGAATTCCGAATAAAACCACTATTTTTTGAAACCTTTTACGGGGCGATAATTTTATGCTACCATTCCATGATGATGACCAAGGGTGAAATAGCACTGCACAATTATAGAATGCTGGTTCTGGAGCATATATTCAAGCGAATCAGATGGTTGGTTTCCAATGGAGTTTTCGTCTCCCAAATTCTTTCTTTGCCTTCACCCTAGTCTTCTTCCTCCTAGCAAGGCCCACCATTCTTGCAAGATATCATCACACAGTCCACGGGGAGTTCGACCCCCTGAGCACGAAATTCGCCAATGTTATCGTTTGGCACGGAAACGTCAGCTACTGCGCTAAAGGCGCCGGAACTGCGGAGCTATCCTGACGTTGGCACCTGCTGCGCAGCCCCAAGCGGATTCGAAAAGCCTGGTTACCTTCGATTCGTTCTTTTGCAGGGCCTTGGCACGGTGAGGAAACATTAGCTCGCGGCTCAGCCGAGCAGAAAAGGTCGCGCCACAACATGTTCTTCAAGACCCTTCCGTATTTTTGAACCACTTGGCACTAGAATGAATTTGACATTTGTGCTTTGGGGTCAAGCTATTCCTGGGGAAGAATTTTTTAGTCTAAGCTACCCTCAAGGACAAAAGCTACTGAAAATCGGGCCTCATCTTCAAAGAGAGGGAGAGCAAAGGGTCCTACTTGCCGTTATCTCTCGTACAGCTTCTGCATGCCGTTTTCCATCTGAAGAGACTAATTACAACAATTTCAGAAAAGCGAAAGAAACAATGAGATTGAACTGGCTTGCAGTCCTTCTGGTGAGTTCTGAGAAACCTTCTGTAACCACACCGAAAATCAGCGAAATTAGCAGGGTCCGGGTTCTGCCAGCAATCGCATGTGGCGATGACTGGTACAACGCAAAGTAAATATCTCGCGCGGAAGACTGAGTAAAAGCATCACAAACGCAGCGATTAAATAGTATAAAAGCTCCACAGTTTTATATGATACAGACCAGCTCTTCCTATTTACCAACATGCTGCCATGGCTGTCAACTTTTCACTTCATTGAATCGTTCGATTCGATGCAAACCTTGCAAATGCAAGTAGATTACTCAAGAAAGTAAGCCTCATCCATCCATCCACGTCTGAGCTTTTACACATCTCAAACGCTGGAAATTACCTACGCATGACCACTGGCCTTCGTTCCAAAACAAAGCCGCAAGCGCCTTATTTATTCACATAGTAAATGCCATTTGACGGCCACAATTACGCCCGCCAAAAGGCACAGCATAACAATAAGAGCTGAAAGCAGGCAGAAAGTTCTGGACAAAACAGAGCTGATTGGAAGGGTAAATGGCCTCAAGCGAAAAGGATGCGTAAAGAGGCACAGGTGGTCGGGTCGTGAGACTCATCAGTGGACGTGAGGGCCGGTTGAGACGCTGAGGCAGGTCTTCACCCAAAACAGCATTCCTGCAAATCCTACAAACATCGAGCAACCCTATCATGTAGAAATATAGTTGGTACGAATCCATCCAAATTGATGCCACAGCATCGGGCCAAAAATCCATTAGAATCGATCAACGATCACTACCCACCCAATTAGGCACCTTTCAAACAGAGGACCTTGTAAGGCTCAACACCGGTAAGATCAATCGGACGTACAGGACCAGTCCTCATTTCCTGTCAACCTAACATTCCGGTGGGTAGTGTAGTGACTCCAGCTGACAGGCGTACGTCCCTAGCGTTCAAATCCTGTTAACGGTGGATAGACTTCAGCCAATCGGCTTTCTGTTCTTCCAGCTAATTGATGCGGGAACTCTTCCGAAAGGAGAAAATACTAGCCACATGTACATCGGCTGGAAAAGGGGTTACTCAGCTTCACTCTCCTCAAACAACAACAATCCTCAAAAAGAGTTACTCGAGGATATAGCTCCGATGTTGTGGCCTACTTTCAGTGACGTTCCCCGAAACATTGGCATCAAATGAAAGAGCAGAACTATCAACGTACCATCATTTTCAGAAGAATGGGATCGTGAACCGTGGGTGCTGAAGTAAACTGGCTCACAGCGTGGGCAATTGTGTGTGTTCACGGGTTGATGCATTTGATTTCACGCGCAAATTCAGGGATACTGCGACCCTTGCCTTCCTAACTTATATCTTGTGCGCCTAATGGGAAGATGTGTCATATTTCTACAGTCACTATCTCTGACTCTTTCGGGGCGTGCCAGCGGAACACGCATTTGGCGCGGCCCTCAGCCTGTTTCATCAATCGCCGCTGCTTGGCGCTTTCAATGTGTGTTGGGGAAGGGAGTGGCGCCGTGAACCCACGCTCCGCTCACACGCCCTCACTGCCTTCGGGGCGTGTGACAAGACAATCGTAATATGCCGCGCTGGTGGCGAGCGACGTCGCGCCTCTCGGACGAGTAGTACTGTCTGATTGTTTCGGCATTATTAGTGTAATGGAAAATTCGATGTCGCCTGTCACAGACGTTTGCCTTTGCTTGAATTCCTACTAGTGGCGATGCTCCAGTCGACAAACTGATGCATACGCAAAACTTGCCGCTCGTGGCCGCACGATACGCCACGCGGCCAAGCAACAAATCACAAGTGTTTTGGCGTTCCGGCTGCGGACCACAGCACGCTTATACCTTGCTTTCCTTTCTACCCTTTTCTCGAGATTCCGACTAAAGGAACCATAGGAATGCTTTCACGGGTTACGGTTGCCCTGGCCTAAAAGAAGGCATTTCAAAGTTTCAGACATCTTCTTCCAGGTGGAAAGGCTGATCAAGGAGCACTCTGTCTACCCGACCAAGGACGGCCGAATTTCTGTGGCTGGAATCTCGACCAATAATTTCGAAAACTTCGCGAAAGCCCTCCATGAAGTCACAAAATAAAAGGCTAACATCGTCAGAAAACCACAACCGTGTTGCCTAATAATTTACCAGTATAACTAGTATAATTATAGGTCTTGTAGGTGTATAGTTTGATATGTTTATATGTCACTGTCTGTTCCATTTCGGGCATTCTTTACTCGTGTATTTATTATTTGTAACACCTCAGTGCTATTCGGGACATAAATGAGATTTACAGTATTAACCTTGGGGGGTGCCACCCCTGTAAGCGCTTGTCGCCATACCAATTAGGTAACTGACAGGAATTAACGGGACCTGCAGAGTGAGACACGTTGTGATGGCAAAAGAAAATAACAAAGGCAAGGAGGTACATTGACATGCACTCAAAGGTGTGGCTCCCCAAGATATCAGCCCCTTCCATTCATGAATATGAATGTGCTTCCAATGGAATATCGCTCTTTTGTACATTTTCTTTTTCAGCTATTTCATCGAACAGGGACACAATATCTGCCTTGCTCAGTCATTTGCCAAGAACATGGGATTGTACGGTACGCAGTTTCGATATGGCACAGGGTACAGCATTTTGTGAGAACCCAAATAGGGGCCTTACTTGTTGCTGAGGAGGCACTTCCTATCTGGCCTTGATAGGAATTTTGCCGAGCCACGATGGTAGTCTCTTCCGTTGTTGACTTTTCCCGATTTTTCCCGTTTCATATGTGCTATATAAATCGTAGTTAGTTTCGTGGAGGGCACATCGTTGTTGGGGGAATCCCC